AAAATAGCTCCAATCCTCATATCGGACAGAAATGTTGGCAAACATATATCCGGTAATTTATTTCTACTGCCAGCATCCTTAACAGTAGATAATTCTGACTTTTGATTACCGGTATAAGCAGAGTTTAAATTGCGCCGGAGCCCACAGGAGCCCGGGTGCTTCTCAATTTCTGAGGTAAATCGTAATTCTAGCAGGAGCGCGCCGGAGTCCTAAATAAAACGTCTCCGGCACTTCTTTCATGTAAGTAAAACACAGTTTCAGAGGACAAATTTCATTTAAAAAATAAATATGCCTTAAAATTCTATTATAACTTCTAAATGCATGCCTGTCTCTCTCTGGGAAGCAAACATAAGACTTTTAAAGAAGGATAAGTCCCCATACACATGTCAAAGGCTTATTCTCCAGGTAGTGTAATGCATAAGAGAGTGGGTAAAGCATTTTGTTCCCGAGAATAATAAAATGATTACCTTGGTCGTGCACATCCAGCGTTAGTGCCCTCTCACTGCAAAGCTCCTGCAGATTTGAATTAAATAACCAAACACGGGAGTTGAAAATTGCCACTTGTGCAGATCTTACCTTTTGACCCGAAAAAACCGTTCTTACCTTTCGGATAATTACACGTTGGCTCTCATTTACAACCCATTTTGACGGTGAATTCGAAGCCATCCATTTAACTCTTCACCAGCATTCTGCTCGTCTCTCTGCTCTTGATAAGGTTGTAATTTTATCGGAATCAAGTTCTGCTTTTCAGGCTTTAGCAAGTAACCTAGGAAAGTGCTCGTGTCCAGAGTTGCAGGGAGTTGTTGAGTAGAATTCAGACAAAGGATGAGTTCCAGTGGGTGCCATCACACTGTGGCCTTTGGGGAAATGAGATGGCGGACCTTTTGGCAAAAAAGAAAAGGTACGGATATTCTCCAGAGGTCTTCCATAGACCTATCTCTTCACTCTGCTAAACTTGAAATCAATAGGATTTATAAAAAATCTTTTCGTAATGCTGCTGTTAGTGCTACTGGAAATAAGTCATGGAGGGTGCAATTAAAAGCCGTCGGTGTCTCGGATTTTTCGCGTGCTACTGCTGTGTCCGAGTTTAGACTATTGACTGGACGTGACTGCTTTGGTGCTCATTTGTTTCGTTTTAATCTGACTGTTTCACCTTTATGTGCTTTCTGTCATTCTTTACAAGTCATGGACGCTGCTCACCTGGACGCGTGCTCTGCACTTTAGAGTTTGGACCTGTATTGTAAAGTATTATTAGAGACCGCGTTGCCTAATGATCTGATGATCAATGGCCAGGCAATTTGATAAATAAATAAAAAAAAATTGTACTTTTATTTTATTTATTTTTACATTATAATAAATAAAAGAATCTGTACTTTTATTTTATTTATTTTACTTTATACTGTAATATATAATGTGTTAACTGGTATAATTAATAATAATATATTTTTTATAAATATTTGCACCAATGTCGCAATTTACTAAAGATATTTCAAATGCCGTATAATAATGCACCTCCATATATAATAATAGCCCACACCTCGTTTAGCAATTAGTTTTATGCGTTAAATGATTAAACGTTTTTTTAAAAATTAACAGTTAGAAGATACAAAGTTGGTAGTAATATTATATGCAGGCAAGAACACCTTAAAAGCCCATTGTATTTTAAGAACGAACACCCTCTAAATCAAGCGGAGTGATTTTTCCTAGACATATTCTTAAATGCGAAGCAGGTTTTTCTAAATTAGAGAGGCTAAAGCAAGGAAATCTAATAGCCTGCCCTTTAGTTTTATTCCCGGTGTTTTAATAGGCTAGCTGCATGTTGTTTCTGTCCTGTATGTCATAAAATCATATGGTTTCTCTCTTACGTTATGTAATTTTCTTTCGAAAGTTGTCCATGAAGGCATCCCTGCCCATTGGCAAATAGCTATAGTATAGGTTGCCGTAATCAAGAAATCACTTTCTCTTAGAGTCCCAACAAAGAGACAGTCTGCCTGTAGTTTCCGGGATTTTTCTTATATGTAATATAAATATGAGCCGGTTACCTTTAGAAATAGCTCCACGAAGACATCCTTCCTCCTGAGGAAAAAATATCTTAATGTGCTTTTCCTTAACTAACTAGACAACCCGCTCTTTTTCTTAAGAACGTCCTGTATACCTCTCCTGTTATGTAAATAACCTTAAAATATGCCGCCCAGATGGTATCGTGGTTAGGTGAGTCTACTATGATACCAAAGGGCCCGGGTTCGAATCCCGGAGAAGGCATGGATATTTATAAATGTGTAGTGTCTTTGTGGCATGGAGGCACTCCAAGCATATGGCGAGCCGAAAGTGCTGTCGTGTGGTCCGATGGTAGGGGAAAGGGGTGTGAGACCCTCGGACTCCCCCCCCCGGTGTACTATCCATCAAAAATGGGGTGGAAGTGTAGAAGTCCAACTTCCTTGAGGCTCTGACAAACATTCTTCCATGGAATTCACAGTCTAGACGACAAGAACAAGCTTAAAACATTTTTCTATAATTGAACAACCCAGTTGATTCATATTAAAAATGTTAGAATGATTTTCGTTATTAAATTTCTGAGAATATACTTTGCAGTATCCGTCTAAGTTATTTATTACCTAGCCACTATTAAGTAATATAATCCTAAATGGAGCGTACGCTAGGTAAAGTAATAAAAACATATTCTGTTTCTGAGAACGTGTCACGTTTTTATCATTCATTCTAAAGACCCATTCTTTTTCTCGTCTAAATATCACTATAAACGATTGTATTTAATGTAGAATTTTCTGAATTATAACTCCGAAGTAATTTATTTTTGCAAATTGCCGAGTTAAGCTGATATACATTATCACTAATAAATCGATTACTAAAAATATTTACGTTCTATATTTCAGAATTTTATTCCATTTACATTATTTATTTCGAACAGGGCTTTCAATTCTGTTGTTCATGGAGCTAAAAATTATGTCATACATCTATCTCATGGAAGACATCTGAGAATCGAGAGCTACGTTAGAATGCAATGTTAGCATAAGTTGTTTCATATATTTTTATGGCAGATATTTTATTATATTAATACAGCCGGCGCATTTTTCTGCGGCAAACAAATATATTTCTTAATTTTTTTTTTTCTTTTTGCTTCCTTGTACGTAATTAAAGGAAGTATTGTAAACGCGAAAAATTTCGGGAACATATTTAAACAAAAATATCCATTTTGACCGCTCTGGAATCCACCTGGGCAGTATTTTTGCGTGACACCTGTACGTACGGACAGAATAAAGGACTCTTTTTTCCAGAAATACATTTAAAATGGATTCAGAAGAGTTTTTTTTCGTGACTTCGGTATCTCTGAGATACATACATATGTACGTATCTGGCATAACTCAGCAATGAGTAGCGGTAGAAACTTATATAAAAATATTATAAAAAATATAGAAAAAAAGTTTGTATATCAGATTGCTATAACAAGTAGTTGTGCACCTCTCTTTTTGGTTGCAATCGGCCAAACATATATACACCCACTCTGTTACCCGGATGGGTGAGCTCAGTTTTTTTTATTCTTATATGTTGGTAAATTGTCATTTTTTTTAATTTAAAAGTAATTGAATTATGTTGTTCTTATGTCCCGGCTAAGGTTTTTATGCATTTAGGTAATCTGCATGCAATAGCTGTAGAATTATCAACTGTTTAAAAGTTTAAATTGTTTTAAGCCTAAAGAGGCCGCCATTTGTTTACATTAGTTACTTTTAGTAGTATATTGTCAAAAGTCAGTTTTGTGTACTAACTTCAGTGTCTTTCTGCCCAGTGGCACCAAAAGTTTAACTTTCAGTTTTGTGCACTAGTAAATTTGGCCTTAATGCCTGTTCGCCGAATTTCATTTTATTGCCTAGAAACTTTAATATGAATTGTAAAATATCATTTTTAACTATTTTTAACAGTATTTGGTGTTTTAGGTTTATCTGTTATAAGGTATCTTTCCCACCTTCTAAGCGTGCCTTCGGGTGTGGTGGTCTGCACGCTGGGCGCGTGTTCAAGAGGTCCGTGGTTCGATTTCCGGAGAAGGCGTTGTTCATCTTTCTTGCTTCCAAAATACCTAATGTCTCTACAATGGTGCCTGAGCTAAAAGGGTCCACCTGGGATTATGAATCTCCACACCCAGGATTTGGAGACTGGGTCCCCTACAAACCCCCCTCTCCATTTAAAAGGGGGAGTATATAAGGTATTTCTCCCGTCTTCTGGGCGTGCCTTCGTAATGTGTTGGTCTGCACGCTAGGCGCGTATTCCAGAGGTCCGTGGTTCGATTCCCAGCGAAGGCGTTGCTCATTTTTTAAGTCTCTTGCTTCCAAATAACCTAATAGCTTTATACTGTATCCGACTGCTATTAAAAAATGAAATGTACAACTAGATGTCATAGCAGTTCCATATATAAAATTTCAACGTTCTATGGCTAATCGATTTTGAGTTAAGCGAGATACATACCTTTATATATTATATGCCGTAACGGGAAAAAAATTAAATCTGAATCTACATTAAAACCTTTTTTACAATCCATTTTTGGAAACGCACACCTTTATTCTATCTGTACGTCTAGATGCCACGCAAACAAATTCGTCAAAATGGATATGGGAAAGGACAAAACAGATATTTTCGTTCAAATTATTATACCCGAAAATTTTCGCGATTACAATACCTTCTTCACGTCGTACCAAAGAAGTATATACATATTATAATATTTTACTCTTTTTTCCCCTCCATTTTTGTAAATCCTGATGGGGCACTTCTGCTAGAACGTCTCTCAAACCTGCTTTAATCATTTTCCTAATTGATTTTTGAGTAATAAATTCTTTATTTAAAAAAAAATAAAATTTGCATAATAACAATGTAAAATTGTTGCCAATCTAACTTTTGTAATATAATTTTTCTTAACTTCTAAATACTAAATACTTAAATCTTTTATTGACCGTGATATTTTAACTGCAATATTGAAGCAGTTTTATTTCCAGGAATGAGTATGCCCATTCTGAACGGAATAGTTAAGACATCTTTCAAACAGGCTACCTGCTTTTACCTAGTTTAGTACAATCATACGGAAGCAGTTTTATATTTCAGAGTAAGTAGAATATTTTAAGTAGCATTGTAAGCATTAATTTCTCTTCAACTGTATTACTAAAACTGCAAAGTATAAAAGGTGTAAATTCACAAGCTCTTCGGTACCTCAACAGAATTTCGAGCTAGCCGATTTATCGATATAGTTAATCCATTTGTAGAGTTGCGCGCCTCCAACCTGCACGCAACCAAGAGGTGACTGTTGAAACTGGAATTTAGACAGAGTCTTGCTAAGGGTTTAAGTCCCTTTTTATTCAACTTAAGAAATTACAATTGCGTGCTCTTGACGCTCACAAACTACTACGACCGACCCGGCGGTAAAATAAAAATAAGAACCTGAAAAAAATAATAACAAGACTCTAACTACGAGGCTCTCTAAAAGTAACTAACCTAACCCACCGCGTTTTTACAATACCGCTGCTAATTCAGCAAACTTTGAATATCACGTTGAACGATTAACAATTCTCCGAGGCAAGCACACAGGCCGAAACGCGGGGTTCTTCAATTTCTGGCTAACTGCTTCCGCGCTCGTGAAGTAAGAACAGCACACACACCTTCGAACTCGTTTCCTTTCTATTTAACTCAGAATACTTCCGCTGATAATTTGAATCCTTGCGCGTTCTACTAAAATTTACATACTCTGGCATTGGCAGTTCCAGGGGAAAGTAAAGCTTGACAGGAAAGATAGTTTAAACTTAAAATAAATGTTAGTTAAAATAAATATAAACCCTACACATTAAAGGTCTTTAAAACGATGTTCTGTTATAGAACGCTAACGAAACACGATAATTCTACAATATAAACATCAAGTCGTTATAGGTAAATCTAATGGCAAGGTATATTTCTAAAAGCTGTACACGTTTTCCTCCTAAAAATAAGGACATTATGCAGATCATATGTTTGAAGATAGAAAGTGATACATGTGTGCATTATGCATGAAAATCACTTGTATCGGATGAAGACGTAAAGATTCACATATGCAATTTGAATACCTCATATAAGTGGAGTTAAAAAAATTCGTTCATTTAACAACGCAAATTTATTTCAAAAGAGAACAGTTATATTTTTATGTGGAATTAAAGTACTGATGAAACCTGTCAGCATTAATAATAAACTCTTTCTTTTATTAAGAATAATGAAATGCATTTCGCAATAGAAGAAGAGGACTTTGTTTGTTTGCATGAGCTATACACGTGATCACGTGTCTCTAAAGTCGCGTGGTCATCGGAATGTATCTAATTAAAAAGGCTAAATTTGTAGACCGATTAAATATTAATTTAAAAGATCTAATTTTGGAACAAGTTTAAAATATTTATGAGATTAGTGATGAGGGAATAAATTGAAAATGCATTTATGTAAATTTGCTATTAAATTGACATGTAAGTTTTCTGCATTAAACGGGAGCTAATTAAAATGTCGTGAGACTTGTACCGTTACGTGAGAAGGATCAAATCTAGAGAAAATTTGTTTGTAACAAGAGCTTAAGGCGACTTCGGTACTCTAATTGTAGCCGGAGCGTACTAGAACCCTAAATAAGAACATTCCGGCACACTTCTTTTATGTAACTGAGCAATTATTTCAGTAGAAATTTGATGTCGAAAATTTTATTTTTAGCAATAGAATTGTATTAAAAATCGCTTTATTAAATTTGTACATTTTATGTAATTTTAATTATTTAATTACTTTAATTTTAGTTACTTTTATAAATAACAGTAAATTAATTACGAGTTAATTAAATAATATATATCAATTAACTAATAATTGAACTTATTAATTACTAATATCAATTAAATAATTACTATGATACTGATTAACTATTTCATTTTAAAATTATTAATGATTTTAATAGTCATTTTATTTATTTATTTATTTACTCTTGTTTCTCTTTGCTGGCGGTCTTCCATAGGCTGCAACACTTCTAGAAATTAAGCCTTGTTTGTAACAAACAAAAGCGTTATCTGACCACACATGGAAATTTTATCCTTACAAGTTGCGGTCAAAATTAGGCCGTGCTTCTTGTTTATGAAAAACATTTAGTCACTTGTTTGTCATTTGAAAAGCGATAGGCAATAAAATTTTACTTTTATTTGATAAAATTGTAGGAATGAGTGAAGAAAAGCTTGTCGTGTTACAACATGCTTCACAGTTTTCCATAATTCAAGGAAAGGTCTAGCCCTTCTTTCATAACCATTCAGCAATGTACCAATCATTCCAAAGACCCTTTGCAAAAATAAGCAAATGTTCCAAAAATGTGTTCTGCTTCAGCTGTTCCGAAGAACTTTTAAGAATATATGTATTCGAAAAATGGAAGTAAAAGCACAGCATCCAGAGGAATATCCTTGGGAGTGAGTAATGTAAGCTATGTAGAATAAATGCATGATGTTGTGAAGGTTTCTTTTTTCTTTATATTTTATTAGCCATCATATATACTGGCTTTTGTGCGATTTGTTTCATCTCTGAACGAAATTCTGAAAAATATTGGGTTTGTGAGCTTCAGTTTGTGTTTGCATACTTGTTCGATGATGTATGTTCGACTTTACATTCGAGTTAATACTTGTTCGAACAATGCCTTTTCAAAATTTTCGGAATGTCAATATGTTACGATTATATTAGATGGCGCTATCGGGAAGCATATTTCACAAGTGCTCATCAGCGTAGCCACTGAGGGAGGGGTTTCGAAAATGTACCAATGAGCTTCTATTGCTCTTGTGACGTTAAATCTTCATGCATGAAAGAGTATATCGTTTACGTTTTAATTTGCATTTGTTTCGCGGGCAAAAAAAAAAAAAAAAAAAAAAAAAAAAAAAATGTATGGCGTAGTAGAAGAAAATTTCGTAGTACATTCGTTTTATGAGTTTAATTAAATCGCTGGCATTTCACTTTCGCGATTTTTATCACAATATTTGGATTGATGTTCACGGTATATTATCGCTCTTTACATCGAGAAAATGACTCAAGCTATAATTAGCTTCGAATAACTCAAAGTGACCCTCAACATTTTATGTCGATCAGCATCGATGAATTTCTATTAAATTTTAATTTAAAATCTAAACTTAACTGCATCGCCCCACACCGGTGACCTACGTGTTAACTAAAGGGATTCTCAGCCTGTAGGTTACCGGTGACCTTGACGGACATTGATGGATTCTGGTAACCAATTGCCTTGATGGGCATCAGTGGGCTTCGATTTAATATTAAATATCTAACATTGCTTAGCTACTGACAGTGGCGGCCTATGGGTTAACCCCAAGCAACGCTTAACTTGTACGTCACCGGTAAACAACACATTTGAAAGGCCCTTTGGTATACTTTTTTTAAACAAACTACTTGAATGTTATACTTTTATACTTCCCTCAAGCATATAGCATATTATATATTTAATTGATAAATAATTTTCATTCAATAGATAATTTTCAGCATTATTTAAATTAATAAGATAGTTCTAACGCCATACGTTTTGCTTCTGATACAGAGTTGTTTGAGTTGAAATCTTTCTGAATCTTGTACTGACATTTTATTTGTCCACATGTACTACTCTAATGATTTGAAAGTAGAGTTCAGGTGAAGAAATAAAGCAACGAAAATTGGCGTTTAGATAAGCTAGTGTCTTAAAGTGCTGCTGCAAAAATAATTTGAAACGCTAATTCTTATTGTTTTATTTTTTCAACTGTACATTAAATTTTTTAAATAAATGATTATAAATATACAATTCGTCATACATAAAATGCATGTTTTCATAGATTATATTGTATTTCATAGAATGTATTATTGCTCAGTCTCTCTGATTTCACTTCGTTTGCTTCTTTAATTGAGCATGAAGCACAAGAGAGATATATGCCTAATCAAAGAGATTATTTCATGGTGGAATTTCTAAGGGAAACGGCTCATAACTAACTTTACATGGGGGAGGGAAGAACCGCTAAATATACTATTTACGTATGCCCATATGGACTGAGATTTGAACCTGCATCGCGTAGTACTATATGAATATTTTCATGTTTTTTCCCAATGTAAGATAAACAGAAACCAGTTTCTTTTAGAAAGTGGTGTGCAATGTGAATACAATCAATTTTCCTTAAAAGTACCTTCCACGAGAGCATCTATCTCTTCTCTCAAGCAGATAGCTGTGATGTGCTTTCCCATGGTGCAAATAATACAATTTATTCTTTTAGAATGTTCTTTGTGCAAACATTTGTAAGGTTTTCCTCTTAGCTATGTAGCCCTCACATATTTTGCCACGATCACTTAAAAAAGCAAAGAAATATCATAGCCAGGAATGAACTAATACCGCGGTTACTGCATACTACCTTAGAAGTTTAAAGAAGTGCGTATTTGCGCAGATTAATTTCAGAAACTAACAAGGAGAATTCATGTTTCTCTAAAGCCAGTGCTTAAATTGCGCCGGTGCTTCTCAATTTTTAAGATAAATTACAATTCTAGCCGGATCGCACCGGAGGCCTAAATAAGATGAGCTCCGCTACTTTTTTTTTTTTATATAAAACTGAGCCACAATGTAAGAAAAAGAAATTAGAATTCCTATCGTTTTATTTTAGCAATAATCAGACCTTGTAATACTCTATTTCCCTACAAATACGAACTCATGAGGACATGAGACGTTCAAGTAAAGTCCCCTCACTCACATGCGGAAAACTTTCCCTTTAAGAAGGGCAATAAATTTGGGTGAGTTTGTTTAGGAACGCGTAAATTTCTCGCCATGCCATTTTATCTAGTGTATTGTTATCGATGGTTACAGTTAATTATCTTCGCAGGAAGGAAAATTTGTGTTCTTAAATGTGGCGTTAAGTGACAGCAAGTACAATAAGAGTGAAATACTGAGATAAACTGTTCAAGCACGTCCTATACATCGTCTTCCGCAGTATCCACTAATGTAACCAAATACGCGGTGTGTGTGTGTGAAAATTGTAGCTAGCAACTTTACATTCATCCTTAGGAGTCAGATTTAGGATTCATTTTACCCCTGACAGACATCTGCTTGATGGCTATAATTATATCAGCAGAAAGCCGCGGTCAAACAAAACGTTTTCTCTCACCAAGATTCTCCTCATTTTATGTTTCCACTCACTCATAACCTCACGCCCTCATTCTGTTTCGCTCTATTTGTAGCATTTTAGCAGTTTATCGTTATTTCATCAGTATATTTAATTTTTGTGATGATAAAAGAACTCCCCCCTCCCTACGATCAGAGCTAAAATTGGACCAGCTCCGGTGCTTCTTAGTTTTTGTAATAAATCATAATTCTGCCGAAGTCCTAAATAAAAAGCACTTCCTAAATGCCTAAATGCACTTCTTTATATATAACTAAATAACGATTTCAGTAGAAATTTTATCTCGAAAATTTTATTATAAAATTATACTAAAAAACGCTTATTAAATTTATCTCTTTATATTTAATTTAACTACTTTAATCTTTAATTTTGAACTATTTCAATAAATATAAATTATAATTTATATAATAATTATTGATTAAATAACAATTTTATAAACATTAATTAAATAGCTTTTAATTAATTTGATAATTAACCATTTAATTTTAAAGCTATTAATGAGTTAATTAGTCATTTTATTTATTTATTTATTCTTGTTCCTCTTTGCTGACGAGCTTCCATAGGGCTTCGGCACTTCTAATTTTAGAAATTAAGCCCTGTCTAAAGCGCATGCTGCTTTTTATCATTATTGTTATTGTTGTTGACAAAGAGCCGTAGAATTATTGACTTCGCTTTTTATTATTGCCTTATAATTTAAATTGCAAATCAGAAATGCATTGCTCTTTCAAAAACAGAATATCTGGGAATGTGTATTGTAACGCACTGCGTTTTTAGTAAATGCCGTTGCTAGAGGAGGGGGGGGGGCGTAAACCGAAACCATCAGTATGATAATTCTAGCACGCGAACCCAGATTTGAGTCACGCAAAAGCAGGTTAACCCCTTACATAGAATTTCGGAATTTTCTTTCAATAATGTTACAAAAATGCATGCGAATTTATTCGTATGAGGAATGAGACTTCATCTTTGGCTCAATGTTACTATCAAGAGTGTATATTCTTTGGCTGGGGATATGAAATAGCCAGTTATATTAATAACGACTAGTAACAGATAACGGCTGACGTTTATTACTAAAGAAAAAAAATTTGATGTGTACACCACATGACTTCCTTGTACGTAATATTAAATTATACGCATTTTTCTTGCATTTCATTTAAACTTATTGGATTGAATTAAATCTACTTCGCCGACAGCGCATAAACCACAGTAGAATAAATGCATTCTTTAAAATTCACTCTGGTATTTGTTTACCATAGCGACACTCTGGCGGTAGATTCCCTTAGCAGTATTATATTTCGTTCATATTACAACTCATAATGCACAAAATGTATATCATTTAAAGAATAGAATTATCTAATCGTTGCCACATGGTCTATTCAAATACTATAATAAATAATAAAGCTAGAATGATGTATAAAAGAAATTAAGGAAACAAAACAAAAAAGAAACAGTTTTTCACAGACGATTGAGTATTTCTCATTCAATTAATTCAGTTCTCATTTCGCGAGAAGGCAAAAATACATAAAAACTCAAAATATCTATATTAAAAATTACTAAGTAAATCTTAAACACTTATTTCCTCGAAAAAATTCCAGAAAGGATTAAGCATGATTTAATTGGCAATAGTAAATGAAGGCGTTATCTTTGTTGTTGCGAAGCTTAACTTTCTCTAGATTGGCAACAAATCCGCTAGTTTCTGCTGTTTCAAATATGCAAACAAATCAATGGCCGCCATGGCAAAAAAATTAGGCTTAGCGGCCCTTAAACAACTTTATAAATTGTTGATAATTTCTAAAAATATTGCATACAGATTATACTAAAGGCATAAAAAACCTTAACCGGAAGATAATAAGAACAACATAATTCAATCATTTTTTTTAATCAAGCAAAAAATGTACAAGCTTTACAAACATATAAGAATAAAGAGACTGAGATCACTGAGCCGGGTAACAGAGTGGATATATATATAATTATATTTATATACGTGTTTGGTGCGGGCCGATTGCAACCAAAATACGAAATGGTTCACATCTACATGTTATAGCAGTCATATATATAAAATTTCAACGTTCTGAGGCTACTCGTTTTTTGAGTTATGCGAGATACGTACGTACGTTCATACAGACGCCACGAAAAATTCTCTTCAGAATTAATTTTAAAGCAATTTTATATTTTTTTTGAAGGAAACGAGTCTTTTATTCTGTCCTTACTTACAGATATCTTGCAAAAACATCGTTAAATTGCATTCGATAGCGGTCAAAATGGATATTTTCGTTGAAAT